AAACCGAGGGGGTGGCACCGCAATAGTCATCAATAAAGAAATCCCCCATCATCTTATAACAATAGCACTGGAAGCATTGGAAACTACTTCAGTTAAGGTCAAAAACAACAATATGGATTTCACACTGTCTTCAGTTTATAGACCTCTCAGAGCATGTACATGTTGAACAACAATATTCAACTACATGTGCCAGAAGAACCAATACAATTTGCACATTATGGAAGGGGACATACCATCGATATAGGAACCTCAAAAAACTTCGACTACAATGTACATATTGAAGTCTTAGACGAAATGTCATCAGATCACAAACCTGTTGTGCTCACTATCGAGAACTGTTTCATTGACATACCCATGCCAACGAAGACAATAACGAACTGGAGAAAGTTCAAAGAACTATAAGAAGTGGAACAATTCAACACGAATATAGAAGATATAGAATAGAGCATCAGCTTCTTAACTGAAAAAATTATAACAGATAAAAGCGCTAATTCAAGGACCCAACAATTCAAGGCACGAAACTACTTTGATTTACCCAGGACAATTAAGGAATTAATCACCAGGAGAAACAGGATACGCAAACGAGCGCAAAGAACGGGCGATCCAGCAACACGAATGGAAGGTAATAGCCTCACAAATATAATAAGCAAAAAAATCAGTGAGTTCCACAACGACAAGTGGGAGGATTTTATGGAGACTTTAAAAATAAGTGACAAACCTTTCTGAGTCTCAATAAATTCTTCCGATTTAAGAATAGAAAAAACATACCACCAATACATGGAGAAGTAGAGATAAAATTCAGCACAGAAGACAAAGCAGAAGCATTTGGAAGCACACTTCAGCTGCAATTCATGCACAACACGGACCCTGACGATGATGTGGAAAGGAAAGAAAAGATCGAAAAAAAAGCTAAAGAGATTCAAGCCCGACAATGTGATAACAAAAGACCAACTGACCCAGGAGAGATACCAGATATAGTAAGAGGAAGGATCACAACTATAATAAATACTGTATTTCAACAAGGAAATTTCTCAAACACTTGGAAAAAATCATCAATTATTGTATTACCAAAACGGAGGAAAAACTAACTTTTCCACAAAATTGGAGACCAATAAGTTTGTTGCCAGCTATTGGAAAAATAGCAGAGAGAGTAATTCTTTCCAGTCTGAAAGATACAGTCGAAGAGAAAGAACTAATTCTTCCAGCACAATACGGATTTATGGAAAACCACTCAACGGAGCTTCAACTAGCAAGAATGTCACAAAATATACTAACAGCACTGAGCAAACAGAAATCAACAGGGATAGTGATGTTCGACATAGAAAAAGCATGTCTGGCATGCCGGATTAATAGTCAAACTGCAAAGACCAGATATTCCATTGGATTTAATTAAGATAATCCTACAAAATAGGAAATTCACAGTTAGATTGAATAAGCACTTCTCATCAATAAAGAATATAGAGGCAGGAGTTCCTCAAGGATCACCCTCATCACTAATACTGTATAATCTGTATACAGGGGATATTATCTCTTAACGCCGACGATACATGTATTTTGTATTCCAGCAAAAAGAAGACACAAATCACAAGAAATCTGGAAGGATACATAGAGGAACTGAAAAAGTACTTGAAAAAATGGAATATCAAAATAAACGTCGAAAAAACACAAGCGATTCTCATAACAAGGAAGAAGTTATAAAAACCACAAAAACTACGAGTAAACAACAGAGAAATAGAATGGAAAGAAAAAGTAAAATATCCACGAATTTTACTTGACAAAAAATTTACATGGAAACCACACATACGAGAAAAAAGAATGATTTGCAGTGTCAAGAACACGGACATACATAAGGATCTGAAAATAGAAACCGTAAAGAAATACATAAAGGACAAAGCATTAAAACTATTTCAGAAGGTGGATTATCACGGAAATTCAATTTTTAATATACTCAGACTCAGAGGATATCGTCGAACAGATGTCAGGTACGCCGACCTAAGAAGTTTAATACTTTAAGGACAAGATAAAGTATTAAAATGAAGACCACATATTGACCCAGTGAACATAACTAAGATGTTCACAAAGAGAACGGAGTAAAGGTACTAACAGGCAGTAACTCCAATCAACCAAACAACATCAGTAGCACAATCAGTTCAGTTTAGTCTGAGCTCGTAAGGAAATAATGTCTTCAATACGGTTAGGATATACACTTAGCAGAAAAACTCTGCGTACAGAAAGTAAATTTTGTTTCAAGAATAAAAAAATTATTAAATAAATAGATTTTTTAAATCAGTTTTATTTTTTATTTGTACTTTATTTCGTTATCTTCATTTTAAGCTAAAACTTATTTCTAACAGATTAGTAGAAAAATTATAATAATTAAAAATATTAAAAATCAGCGCTATCGGTGGCAGAAAAAGTCTGCGTACAAGAGTTTAAAAAGCGTCGAAATATATTATTTTTTTAAAGATTTTACGTTTTTAGTAACTTGTTGGATAACCTTTCCTTTTTATGACCTCCATAAGTCGTTTTGGTATCGAATTGACCAGTTTCGCAGTCTCATCGTTGCTTATTTTGCCCCATTCCGCGTCTCTCATGTTCTTCAGCATTTCTTTGGAGGTTATATTGTATTCACGTACCCAACGCTACAGTAAATCCTACAAATTTTCTATAGAATTCAAATATGGCGATTATGGTGACGTTTTGATTTGCTTGGGGACATTTTAAAGCAACCAAAGCTTTACAACTTCTGCAGTGTGCTTTGGGTCGATAACTTGTTAAAGTAAGTAATTATTCTGTAACCCCAACTTCTCGGCATTGCTCTTTAAACTGCGTTTTAAAACATTTAAATAATCAACTTTATTCGTTATCGACTCAATAAATTTCATTTTTCCCACTCCATTACTCGCCATACACCCCCGCACTATTACTCCTCCACTACCGTGTTTTATTGTTGGATGCAAATCTTTATTATTAAAGGCAGTACCCGGGTTTCGCCATATAATCGTTCGACCTTTAATGCTAAAGAGACAAAATATGCTTTCGTCTGAAAAAATTATGGGTTTCCAAAATTCTGGAGACTTTTTTAAATACTCCCTTGCGAATGCTAAACGCTTCATTCTAATAGTTTTGGAGATAAGCGGCTTGCTTCGTGCAAACCAGCCATGGTAGTGGTATTTTTTTAATATTTTGTGTACAGTATCCACGTGAATTTACTTCTGGAATGTCTGGTCAATATATTTATATAACAGAAGTCCAGTTAGACGAGGTTTATCTTTCACTGAATTAATAATGGTGTGGGTTTCTCTTCTTGACAGCTTGGATGGACGCCTAAATCGCAACCTCGAGGTCAATAATATTGTTTAGCTGTAGTTGTTTACTACTCTTTAGATAGAAGAATGTGACCGCTTAACGATTTGACCAATTTCACGATACATTTTCCTTTTTTTCCATAGATCAATAATAATACTGCTCTTACTAATAATAATTTTTTCCCTTTATTTGTCATTATAAATTTAATTACTTTTTAATCATTTAATTATAAAATAAGTGCTTGGGATTGTGTATAATGACATACCGGTTCAATAAAATATAAGGGACGCCAAAGTTCTACTTTTAAAACTTCGGGAATTCCCCTTTATATGTTTTGTACGCAGACTTTTTCTGCCACCGATAGCGCTGATTTTTTACATTAGGTGTATTCGGTGGCTCGCAAGCACGGCAAAAAACAGCAAGTTGTTGGCCTATGCAGGCCTATACTGGCCGCAATGTATGCAAAACAACAACACTATTTTCTCTACCTCGGCCAGCATAGTTATGCTGGCCAACCACATCGGCCAGTAAAAAAAAAAATGTTACCAACGCAATAAGCGAACTATTGTGAACCTTCATTGAAAATTCCAACGAATAGTGCAATCAAATGTCAAAAAGTGAGGAAATAATAATTCAAACAGAATTCAAAAATTTGAAAAATCTTGAAAAGTAACGAAAAAATAATAAGAATGTAGAAATCGTAAGTATTAAGCACATTGAATTTTTTTTATGTTAGTTATTACCAAGTAACATTTATTTTATTTCATTTAATTTGTAGTTTACACGCGTAAAAATTTTTTTTATAAAAATACACGCAAGTAAAACGTTGCTTTCTTCTCTCAACATCGACAGTACCTACAAAAATTTACTTATCTTAGTGTTTTATTTTTAAATTTCCAATATTCTTACCATTCCTTTTAATTCCTTGTTCATTTTAATTTTAAAATATTTTTATAAAAATATATTTGATTTATATGCACATATACAAGATTTGCTGTTTGTCAAAACAAAACATTTGACAGATTGCAACAGTGATGCCAATGACTCGCGTGGCCAACATAGGCCAACATGCATTTTTTGCCGTACTTGCGAGCCACCGAAAAGGCCTATTTTTAATTATTATAGTTTTTCTACTAATCTGTTAGAAATAAGTTTTAGCTTAAAATGAAGATAACGCATTAAAGTACAAATAAAAAATAAAATTGATTTAAAAAATCTATTTATTTAATAATTTTTTTATTGTTGAAACAAAATTTACTTTCTGTACGCAGAGTTTTTCTGCTAAGTGTATTAGTTCATCTATATTGGTTATTATAATTACATCTATATTATTGTAAGCTATAAATTGCAAATTTTAATTGATAAATAAAGAGAATGGTCGTGAACACGACAGATGCCTAAACTACTGTTAGTAAGTAAAAGTTCTTTTAAGCAAAATTCAGTCTAGGGTGTTTATGCGATCTTAAAATAACAACTTCTAAGACTTGCGTGGAAATAAGGCTCGTGAGATATGTAAAAATTAGTAGATAAATATAAGTATATATAATATATATTATTTTAAATATATTTGATAAATAAGCAATAATCATTCAGATATGCACTTTTCTCAGCTTCTAATACTTTTTCAATGTATGGTTCAATTTGTAATATACATAATCACCTTGTAGTCTCAGTGTTTCCGATCATGTCAGCTGTTTATTAGCAACGTTCTTGCACTTATACACTAAATATTTCAGCGAAAATTGAATCTAGTGAGATTTTTTTTTTAAAATTTTATCCAAAATTGATATAATAGTTAAAACATTCTTAATAGAAAAATTGGAAAAATTTTTGATGTTAACATCATTAAAATCATCGTTGACTATAGATTAACAAAAAATTAGGAAGCAGCGAAAAAAGTCAACTTGAACAAAAGCGAATGGAAATTATGAAATTTTTGTGAGATACTGTCATTGACCACAAAACAAAAAGGCTTTCGGAGCTATAATACTTAAGGATTTAAAAACAACAGTGAACGAAAAACCACAAATAGTTATTAATATTAATTTAATGTTCTGTTTTATAAAACCAAAATTAATATAAAGTAATGGAAAGCTCCACAAGTGGCGAAACAGCGAACTCACAATGCTCTCTACAAAAATCTAGAAAGAAATGTAGAAGCAAAAAACAGTCTTGTAAATCACAAAATCCTACGGTAATGAGACCAAATTTAGATGCAGAGAACACTTATTCGAAAGAAGGTGATACAATTAGAATTTGTAATAAATTGGAACAAGTTGAAATAGCTGACCCAATCAGCTTAAATAATCATGTACTAAATGGGTTGCTTAGCAAAGGAAAACGAAGCTATGAAAATGGAACTGAAGTCACTCAAAATGGTCATCATGTAGCTACAGTACGAAATGATTCTAATGATGAAAGTATTCCAGCAAGGAAAAATGAAATCGGCAAACCTAAAGCCAAATGTCTTTATTTGAACAGTTGTGACGATCAACGATGCCATACGGTTTCAGAAAACTTAAATAATGCAGTAGTCCAGCGTGTGTCCACTTTAATACCACCAAAAGTTGAAAACGGAATTGATCATGACATTACACGAATTAATGAATTGAATGTTAATGTAGAGCGAAATAATTGCATACATCCTGATAGTATATCAAGTAACATTAAATTTGCTGAACGGTCCAAAGAAACTAATGGAACAACAAAGCTACCAAATGCCACAGATAACTTAACTACTGCCAAGCTATGTGCTAGAAGCAATGATGAAAAAAAAGAATCCACAATGTCTACATTAGACGTAACCAACGTTTATATAGAGTATAAGCAATATAACTCAGAACTACAAATGCATGTGAGTGATTCCTAAACAGCCAATAAATTATAATTCTATATTTTTAAATAACTTTATTACCCGACTACAGAATATTTCAGTTCAAGTACTGTTTTTGAAATGTTTTTTCTTTGTAATTTTTTAATATTGTCTCTTTTATATATTTCATAGGACATCATGCGCCTGATACAAGCAGAACTATCGGAGCCTTATTCAATTTATACTTATCGCTATTTTATATATAACTGGCCAAAACTGTGCTTTTTGGCAGCACATGGTAATGAGTATGTTGGTGCCATAGTGTGCAAGCTAGATATGCACGCGAGTTCTCGACGTGGGTACATAGCAATGCTAGCTGTACGCAAAGAATATAGGAAATTGAAAATAGGAACAACTCTTGTACAAAAAGCTATTGAGGTTAGTATTACTCTCATTTCATTTATAAAACAAAGTGCATTCCTTTAAATACATAGGCAATGCTTCTGGATAATGCTGATGAAGTAGTGCTAGAAACAGAAATGCGTAATATACCCGCTTTACGTTTATATGAAAACTTGGGTTTCGTGCGTGATAAGCGTTTATTTCGTTATTACCTAAACGGCGTCGATGCGCTACGCTTAAAATTATGGTTTAGGTGAGATCTTCGTAAACTAATTACATATAACAATGTCAATGCGTTCAGAATAATAATTTTTTATATTTACGATAGTTGCTATGAGAGAAGAGAAGAAGATTAATCAAAAAGAAGCAAAAAAATGTTTTAAAGTAACTTACCGGCAATATGGCGGCAACACTAAATTACTTAATCAAATTAATATAAAAAATGTAAATCAGGTTTATTTTATATAGTACTATTTAGTTTACGGATACGTTTGCATGATACGCATTAAATTATAAATTGTGAATTGGAATATTTAAAAGTGATAAAAACTTTTAAATATGAAACGAAGAACAACCACCTAAATTCAATATTCTGTACATTGAATTTACATTTACATTGCACTTTAAAATTTGGCAAACCTATTCAAAGATTAAAATAGATTTAAAGTTGTGTTTTCTAATATCACCTTTTAAGAATAAATTAAATTATAATTTGACCGAAATGTTTATTTAAAACCAAAATAAACTAAAATTAAACAATTCTATTTTTTAATCATATATAGTTTATTTACACTAGTTTACAGCCAAAAATTTCCAAAGACGTAGAAGTCGAAAATCAGAATAATTTTTTTTCGAGTTACCGTTTTCAAATTATCTGCGAAAAACTTATTTTGACTTTTTCAAAATATCACCTTATATATGCCCCTTAATTTTTTTTTTGGAAGTTACCTCGTACAGTATTGTATATCAAATGAAATGTGAAACTTGTACGAATATTTTAAGCTACATAATGTCAATGTTTAGCTACTACGAGGGTCGCCTAATAATGAAAGAATACTAACTGCGTTGAAAATTGCTTTTTTGTTTCGCGAAGCATTCTCCTTTATGATTAATACGTTTTTGCATGCTTTTGAAACACTTTTCCCAATCTTCTTCAGACACCTTCAAAACATGTTTTCTAAATGCAACAACGGCTTCCGTTGCTTTCCGCCGATAAAAATCATTATCCACGCAATGTATTCTTGGTGTTCGGGAACAAAAAGTCATTAAGGGTCAAATCAGGACTACGAAGTATCACCCATCAATTCGATTTTTTAAATGATCAAATAGTCGCGTGTTTGGCGAGATGTGTAAGCATTCGCATTGTCTTGTTGGAGAATAATCCGACGAAGCAAAATGTGCTAATACAGAAATGAGCCAATCAAAGTTCGATATCCTCTGAACCAACATGAAATTTTTCTAAATATTTGTTTTTCATATTTTCTTTCTTTTGAATCTAATTTGAGCCCAATCGGCCTACTGGAACTACCCGAAATTTTGGGTGAAAAATGAATCATTTTTTGGTATTCCTAGTTTCCTCAAAAACTATGATAGGTAGAATTTTGCGGCCCAAAAAACCTACATTATAATATACCCCAGTAAAATAATTATATGTGCAGTACTTAAAATCTAATTTAAACTCCAACAAATTTTGTTAGGGTGAATTTAGTTTATTATTTGTTTTTATGTTTAGTAGTCTAATTAAAATAATAAAAAAATTTTATTCAAATTAATTTTTTTTAAGTGAAAAATTAACTTTATTTTAAATCTTCATAGAAAATATTTATATGTGCAATTCACATTTTTTGCTAAAAACAATTAATTATTTTATGTGATTCAATTTTTTTTGTTTTTCAATAAGATAATGTGTTTCCATTATTTATTTTTATTAACTGTATCCTATGTGGCATTGAATCTACCAATTTTTTTAATAGTAGGAGGTCAATTTTGGCCCATTCGTCCAGTATGTCCTTTTTCAGCTCTTTAAGAGTATCGTATTGCTTCGAATAAGCATAAATATTGGCACTAAGAATACCCCAAAGATTCTCTATTGGATTTATGTCAGAACTCATAGCCGGTCAATCTAGCAATGGGATGCTTCTCTCTTCAAATAATTTCTTTGTAGCACAAGAAACATGTATTGGAGCATTATCCTGTTGGAAAGTCCAATTATCTCCATGAATATTTTCAGCAAAATTTATCAGTTCGCTATCCAACAGATTTATGTATATTTCCGAATTCATTTTTGATGGTACGAAGCATATATTAGACTTTCCCTTCGAGCTAAAGGCAGCCCACACCATTAGTGAACCACTACCATGGTTGCGTTTGTTGCAATTCTGACGTGGATGACAAATATCTCTCCAATATATATGTTGACCATCTGGACCACCTAGATTAAACTTTTATTCATCACTGAAAACAACTGTTTCGAATTCCTCGTCCCAAAACTCATATTTGTCATGAAAAGCTAAACGATCATTTTTATGTCGTTTGTGTAAGGCGCGGTTTGGGAACTTTCGACTCATATTTTAGCTTTAAGTCTTTTTTCATAATTTGTTGCACGCGTTGGCTAGTGATAGACAAATCTAATTCATATCTTATTTGTCTGCAACTTATCTTCTCATTGGTAGCAAGAAGCTGAATATGCCGTTTTGTTCGGTTGTTAATAGTTGATAAGCGGCCACCTCGCTTATAACACCATATTTTTCGAGATTTTTTAAAAAGTTTATTATAGTATTCAGGTGTCTATAACCAGCAGCAGATATTTCGCCACTTTTCATCCCAGAAAAACTCATTCCAATAATCTTTCCACACTCTTCACTTGAAAATTCCGTCATATGCGGCATTTTTTATCTAAATTAATTAAAATAATAAATATTTATTAATAAATAATAAGTATTTTACTTACCAATTATTCTTTACTCTTCAATACTTTAAAAAAAAACTTTATAATACACTTCACAACTTTATTTCCATTTACTGTTGACACTTCGAGAAGCAAAACAATTTTGCACATATAATTATTTTCTATGAAATTTGCTACCTATTGTTATTAATTATGATAACGGTACCACAAATAGTATACAAAAAAAACTCCATATATGGTCAGAGAAGTTAAACTCAACTACAGAATCAACTGTATATAAAAAAAATTAGTACCATTATTCTAAGAAGAGAATAATGAAAAACAAATTTTGCACATATAATTATTTTACAGGGGTATATGTCCCAACTTTTTTTTAAATCGGCGCATAACTTTCAATTAAATTCGTTTTATTAAATTAACTTTAAAATTTTCTCGACTTTATTATACGGGTCCTTTACTCCAACGGTATGCGGTAATGGTATACTGGGAAGTTCATTGCCGTTGTAAACAACAGCAGCTTTTAAACCTAATTTTAAACTATCTATAAAAAGACGCTATTCACTAGGCTCATAGCTTATTTGCAATTTCTTAAATAGACCTTTACTATCACTAAAATAAACAGTTTGATGGAATTTTATGAAAAAAAAAAATTAATATGCGTTGCTTCTATTGCGATCAGTTGCTTTTGTGGATTTTCTTAATCAGTTCCATTGTTGAAGACGTGAGCCAGTCCATTTCGTTAAAGACACTGTTTCACTTAAGGTCATTTTCCGAAAAAACTTGTATCTTATTTCTTTTAAAATTGGCCAAATTTCGATAAAGTGCGTTTTAGTTTAGTGAGTCTGGTATCTGGTTGGTTTATAACAGCGTTAATATATTGTAAGTGTGATTTTAAAGTGCCGATATGTAGTGTTGATAAGCCAGTTTTCAGATAGATGCGTGGTCTGAGGTGTTGCCCGGTAGACGAAAAATATTTTTGATAAAATAAGTAAAACATTTCTCCATGTGTTGCTTATTGCTAGTTCTGAATCTTTTAGCCTTTTATTTATGTTTCGATTGTTGCATTATATGATATCCAAACTTCTAAATACTTATATGACGTCACTACTTCCAATTCTTCTCCGTTAACATACCAGTTTTCATCGTTTTTTAAAAATAATTGTTTTAGTATTGATATATTGACTTCTAAATTCCAGGTATTACAGTACTCGCTCAGTCTATTTATCATCATAGCTCTTGGTGATTTTACAAACAGCACCACATCATCGGCGTACATCAGAATCTTTATTTGCATACCATCAATACCACCGTTTAAAAAGTTAACCAGATCATCTAAAAATGATGTAAATAAAAGTGGACGTAAGATACAGCATTGTTTAACACCAGACTGCGTAACAAACTAATCAGAAATATTTTCATCCCACACTGCTGCTTTACTACCATAATACAAGCTCCAAATTATTCGCATCATTTTTCTTGACAATCCTAAGTTCCCAAGCTTATAAAAGAGCGGATTTCGTAGTATTGAATCGAACGCCGCCATTAAATCCACGAAGAATACATAGAGTTTTTTGTTTTTGTCTATATACATTTTTGCAATATTGGAAAGAAATATGTTATCCACAGTAGAATACATTTTTCTGAAATCTGCTTGAAATTCGCGTTACAGTGTTCGGTATTGGACCAAGTCTTGTAGGCGCTCGTGCAAAATACATGCAAATACTTTCACCATGGTATTGTTAAAAGATATACTGCCATAGTTTTCTGGATTTTTTGTTTCTTTTTTTTTGTTCAATGGGAAGATAATCGACTTGCAGAAAGAATCAGGTACATTGCCGCTGTTGTAGATATAGTTAAATGATGCTGTCATATTCTCAATAAATATATCCGAAGCATATTTAAGGAATTCCATGGGTACTCAATCCTCTCCAGGAGCTTTATTCTTCTGACTCTTGTGCAATATTTTTTTGACTTCTGTTACTGTAATCATTCTGTCAAGTTCACTCATTTCAAGTATAGGTATCTCATAACTTAAGCTATCATTAAGAATGCTGCTGTTTACGTTTGCCAGATCTTTTAATCCTGTTTTTTTAACTTTTCTTTGCAGTCGAAAAGATGTATTTCTTAACAATTTATATTCAGAATCAATCCGTTGTTTTTGCTTTATGCCAGTTTTTTACTTTTGGTGCAGAGGCTTTGCTGCATTATTTATGCAATCCATCAAAAACTCAATTCCGTTCGTTGAGCATATTGTCGCTCTATTTACTCCAATAATTTGTTAAGTGTTAAATTATAAGTTTTCTCGATACATTTGTTCCTGTATAGTATAGGTAGCAACTGTAGACCTGAAATTTCCTCAGATGTAGTTTTTCCGACGTGGACACATACTGTTATCGGCTGATGGTCTGAGTAAATAAAGTCCTGAACTTTGAAGTGTTTGATTTTATTCAAGCAGATCCCTGCTCCTGAACCATAGTCAATTCTGGTGGCGATAGTTCCTCTGTGGGGAATTATCGCAAGACCTGCCATATTGCAGATCTCTAGTAGTCTGCGGCCATTTTTATTTACTTTATCATCCATAGCTCTGCGTTGTGCGCTTAGTCCATTGGTTTGTAATATTGGGTTAAATTCCAAGCTCCCTAATTCGAACAATACATCATTTAAGTTTTTCAAATGCATATCCCAGTTGTTACAATTAATATACGTTGGAATAATGCACGCCAGTGTCTCTTCAAACATTAGCTTAATTGCTATCATATTCAATATTTGTGTAGATAGTATATTCATTTTAGCTACAAAGT